CTTTAAGGGGGAGCGTGGCCGGAACCCTCTCCCCCAGGGCCTTCACCTCTTCCCAGAGCCCAGGTGAGGTCCAGGTGGGACGGCAGCGTTGGGAACTGTGGACTGGGTTCCCAAGAAGGGACTGGGGGTCCGGGCAAGGATGCTGTCCCCTCCGACCCTACTCGACCAGCTGCCTGAACTCAGCTTCTCTGGCTTCAGTCTCTACTTAAAAATATGAATTAGAGTGGGCGAGGGGGAGGAGCTCACACAGGAGCATTGCCACTGTGATGGGGAGGCCCGTGGAGTGTTCTGTGGGCTTGTGGCCTCTGACCAGGTCTCCAGTAGGAACTGGGGGACCCTGATTCATATCTCCTGTGCGGCTCTGGGCCTCTGGGGAGAGGAGAGGTTGATCTTTAAAGCGTCCCAAGGAACCACACAAGAAGGAGCGAGGGAAATGGGAGGTTTTATTTTAGTCTCTGAAAAAGAAGAAAAGACTTAAGGGAAGATTTCCACAGGGTCTTTAAAGGTGTGGAAAATGCTTCTTACTGTCCTAAGGTATAAACAAAAGAGATGGACACCTTGGTGCAGGGAGGGGGTGGTTTAGGTCACTCATAGGATTTAGATGCCAGGAAGAGGCCTGGGAGGACACTGGATGTGAGAGGGGAGGGCGTGGGCACGATGCCTTGGAGAGCAGGCCTCTGATAAGAGGGTGGCTGCCTCACGTTAGGTCTGCCATGTGCCTTGTGGGTGAGCACGATCATGCTCTCTGAATGCAGTACAGCTGTTTCATGAGCACCTACTATGCTCCGGGCCCTGTGCTGTGCTGGGGGTGGGCTGCAATGATGAGCAAAGGCAGGCCTGCTTCCACAGGGGAGGGCTGGGTGAGTTCTCAGGCTGCTACTGGGCGAGTCAGAAGTAGATTAAGCATGCGAGGGTGTCATTACCACCTGTGTGATAAGTGCTTTGAAGACCAAGCTCAGGGCCATGAGAATGTAAGGGGGTGAGTGTTAATGGAAGGCTCCTTCTCAACCACCCCACTCTGGGGGCACCCTATATTATTTAACCTTCACAGCACCCGCAAAACATGGGTTATTATACCCATTATATGGACGAGGAGACAGAGGCTTAGGGTTAACTATTGTGCCGAAGGTCCCACGGGTCAGCTGGTGCAGGGATTTGGACTCGGGTGGTTGAACCCCCAAACTGTGAGTGCTCTGAACCATCCCATTGAACACACCCATCCCCTAGTTTCCCTCATTTTACAGACAGAGCCTGCGGGGGTGAAGCAGGTGTTATAGAGCAACCCCGATATTAAACGGGTTCTCTCCCTGTCCTATAACACAGGGACCCAGCTGCGGAAGGACAGCAGGGACCAGGCATGCTGATGCCTCACCGCCACATCATTCTGTCCCTTATTCATTTCATTTGTCACACGTGGATTTTGCTCCCTACTCTGGGAAAAAGCGGGGAGAGTTAGGGTTCAGAGCCTGGTCCTATAGCTCTTCAGAGAGACTTTCGTCTGTCTGGCCTCTAGGCTGACAGGACAGAGAAAGCAATCTTTCCTGAGCAGGCTGTGCGGGGAGGTTGGAGGGGAAGCCAGAGGTGACCAGGATCCTCTTCCCAAAAGGGGACCCAGGCCTGAGCTGTTGCTTCTCCATCAACAAATGGGCCCCAGGGACCAGAGGCAGAGCAGGACAGACGCCATGGTCAGGGCCCTGGCTACCTGGCGGCACCAGGGGTCACCATGCAGCTTTGTTACCAGGTATGGCGCCTGAGGCCAGGAGGAGCAGGGGCACCCAGGAGGCAGGCTCCCCTGTGTAAAGATAATCCACAGGGCTTGAGAGGGGGGGAGGGTACTCTTGGGGGTTCAGTGTGAGTAGAAAAGACCATCACAGCTGAAAGAACGTGGTCCAACAGAAATATGAACTGCACACTTTAAAAAATTTTCTTACGTCATTATTCATTTTTGCACAGGAATTGCAAGAAGTGTAAAAAGAAACAGGCAAAATTAATTTTAATGTATTTAATTTAACTGAACATGTTCAAGTCATACAGTTTCAGCATGTGATCAATAACCAGTTATTAAGGAACATGGCCAAGCCGTGGTTTGGGACAGTTCCTTTAGACCGGCCGTGGTGCATGCTCCCCCTGGCCACACCAGCGAGCTGCCGGGCTGGGCAGCACCGTCCAGGGCAGGTACCTACCCTGCCGCCGCCTCGGCTCAGGCCGGGGGATGGGCGGGCGGCCGCAGCAAGTCACCTGGCAAGGTGGCCACCAAGTCCCCCCAGGCCTCTGTGGCCTTACGTCTCTGGGCTGCCTGGGGAAGGAAGGCGTGGAGGTAGGAGCTGGAAGGCCACCGAGTTGGGACAGAAAGGAGAAAACCCCCAGGCCCACGTCCAGGGCCGGAGGCGACCTGGTGGCCCGCCCGCGCCCACGCGGAGCAGCGGGTGTGGGGAGCGGTGGCGCAGAGCCGGGCCGGGATCAGAAGCCCACAGCCCGCATTGTTCGCCTGTCACACTTCCTTTGGCTTTATTGCCTTTGTCCAACACCCTATTGTCTGGTTTCCTTTTGTCCCCCTTTCAGCGATGCTGCCTTTTATTTTCCAGCCAGCCTGGTTGTTTTCGTTTCTTTTGTCTGAAGTTCCTGAGAGGAAGGTTTTATTTTCAGCGGTTTGATTAATTCACAGCTTGAGCCCGGGGTTTGTTTGTTATGTAATTGCTGCCCTCAGCTTCAGGATAATGCCCCCTCCCCAGCGCCCCCTGCTCGGCCGGCTCCGCACCCCTCCCTGTGCCCGGATGGGCTGGGCCGAGCTGCCTGCTTCCTGGAGGCCTTCCAGGTCCCTGGGCGGTGGGAGGAGACTCAGAGCCAGACAGCCCCGGGGCCAACTGGGCCGGGGTCTCCATTTGATGCCCCTCACCCTGCAGTGCCCTGTCCTAGCTTCCAGGCCATCTTCCAGGGCCTTTTGAAAGTGGCAGGAGAGCCTAGTGCGGTCTGATCTGTAGGGTGGTATCTTATTCAACTATAATGCTCTTTAGGGTATTTAATTAATGTACATGAACTGGGTGGTGCAGAGCACCTGGCCTTCCTTATTCATTGTTGTTACCAAACATTTTATTGTGCAGACTTGTGCAGTAGGCAGATAGTCACCTGCACCTTGCATCTAAGAGCTGTTTCACTGTATCTCTTTTTTGGCTTCCACCTCCCCCAATTTAATGCCATGTTAAAAACTATTAATTTTATTTGTTTAATCACTTACTCTTGTTAAAAATATCTTGTTAAAAACTTTTTAAAAAGATTTATTTATTTATGCATACAAGAACTGGGGTAGAGGTCCAAGTTGCAGGGGGAGAGAGGATTCACCAGAGACAGAGTGGGGAGCAGAACAGGCAGACTGACCGAAATACACTGCTGAGGGGAGCAGCGGGAGAGTCAGGAGAGGTCTGCTGTGCCATGTGAGTCAGCTCCCTGGCCGGGGATCGAACTCGTGCTGCAGTGGCTGTGGATATCTCCACAGTGCTGTGTCTTAATCCCCTTGCGCCACCAGGGAGTTACCTCTTGTTAAAAACTTTTAAGAACATTTTTTAGCAAGTCTTTTTTTTTTTTTTTTTTTTAAAAAAGATTTATTTATTTATTTATACAAGCACTGGGTACAGTCAGAAGCACGGGACGGTGAGAGAATTCACCAGAGCCAGAGCGGGGAGCAGAGCAGGCAGAAGGACCGAAGCACACCGCTGAGGGGAGCAGCGGGCGGCAGGAGAGGTCCGCGCGCCATGCGGGACCCTCCTGGGGTGGCTGGGGAGCAGCCGGGGATTGAACCGGCGCTGCTGCAGAGGCTGCGGGCAGCTTCACAACCCAGCGCTCAACCGCTGCGCCACTGGGGATGCCCTTTTTAGCAAGTCTTGTTAAGAAGATCCCCATACCACCACCTCCAGACATTTTGATTTGTGGGCCATCACTGACTTTGCCTCTCAAATAAGCCCCCAGGCCACACTGAGATTGTGGGTCCTGGTGCTCTATTCCAACTAGCCGTGGCATAACAAACACCACCTGGGGATTCACTGGTGCCACACACCATTCTCAGAAAGACGAGTCCTCCACAGTCCTTCCTCCTGCCCATTTTACAGATGAGGAAGCTGACCTGATAAGGTTAAATAACCTGCTCAAGGTAGCCCAGTGATTGGTGCGGGAGCCGTGGCAGGCCCCACCTCTTATTTCCATGACTCTGGAGGGTGAGCGGGTGAGCGGGTGAGCGGGTGAGCGGGTGAGCGGGTGAGCCGGTGAGCCGGTGAGCCGGTGAGCCGGTGAGCCAGTGAGCCAGTGAGCCATGGGCCTCTGCTGCTCCGGCCTGAGACTGCATGGCTAATCCAAGCTGTTCCTTGGGAACCAGGGGTTTACTCTGCTTCTTAGAAGCCCCAGGGAGTGGTGGGACGGCAGGGAGGCAGATGGGAGCAGTGGAAGCAGAGTCTGCTTCAGCCAGGATTTGCAAATGCCTGATAGTTTTCTGAAAGCCACTCATCTCTCTACTTGTTTATTTTCCCACACTTGGCAGATTGATGGCAAAGTGAAGAAAGGTGAAGAAAAATTTCACTTTTGTTTCTAAGAAAAACAAAAAAAAAAGTATTTTGTGAAGAGTATTGGTACGTGTTTTGGTACATGGTTTCCATTTTGGGTTTCCCTTTTGGGAAATAGCAGGGAGTGGTGAGGACTAGGGCAAATTGGTCTGGCCAGAGGAGCACCTGCTTCTGATTCCACTTGTAGGTTACCACAGACCAACTTCAAGAGACGTAAATTCAGAGTGTATGTGATATTCCATGTTGGTAACTAATTGCAAATATGAACACACACACGTATATAAGCACGAGTCAGGAATTATATACCTGGCTTTATTGTACTTATTTTTTTAAAAAAGGAACAAAATTACATCCTGTGTGCATGTGCCTGTTTGGACTGGGGAGAGGGAAGGGAAGGATAGGATCACCCTGCTGGGCCTCACGACTTACTCATCTGCTCTTTGCCCACAGGATGTCCATGAGGAGTCCTGGCTCTGCCCAGCTAGCCCTGGATGGTGCTGGCACCATGGTGAACTGTACCGTCAAGTCAGAGGGGAAGAAGGAACTCTGCCATGAGGCCCCCAAGGGCGCGACAGCCACAGCTGAACCCCAGCCTGGAGACTCAGCCCGGGCCCCGCAGGATGGTGCAGACCCCCAAGCTCCAGCTCAGGTGCCTAGCACTTTCCCAGGGGTACTGGGTCAGTGTCCCCTCCTGGCCTCTGTAGCCCATACCCCAGGGCTCTGCCCACCATTGGGCCAGGTGGACACTTACTCCCCAGCGGGGCAGAGAACAGGCAGAACCATTCCTCTCTGGGCAGGACTCAAGTGAATGGAGAGGGCCTGCCAGGGTCATCCTGGCTGGACACCAGACCATCGTCCTGTGCTCACTCATCTGATGTTAGCGGCTCACCAGGTGTGTCCCTGGTGGGCGAGTCGGAGGGGCAGGATCAACAGTTCAAAGATTGACGTAAAGGTCATCTACCAGCTTTCTCATATGGTTTGAGGAAAGCAGCCTTCTATCCAAGCCAGAGTTAAATCGCTGTTAAAGGCAATTCCGTTCCTCCTCCCTAAAGCAAGGAGCGGCCAGGATGCTCGTGGCTCTTCAGAGCGCCATGATTCTGTGCAGAGATGCCAAAAGGAAACACGAGTCCGAATAAGAAGAGTTTTAGGGTTCTGGGGCGGGAGCCAGCCTGGAGAAATACGGGAGGGAATTAGGAGGTGGGGTGGGGTAGATCCTGGTAGATTCAGGCCCCACGCCAGGCCTTCAGGAGTGGCGAGGACGCAGAGGAAAGAGGGTACTGTAGGTTACTGTGTCTCAGCAGGGTGGGTGGGGGCCCAGGAGTGGGTGCCTGGCAGGACTAATTCATTGCTGGCTTTTGGCAGTGCCAGCCTCACCACACTCATCAAGCCCCACCACCCCAGCTGCAGTCCTAGGACAGGGTGGGGATTAGGATGTCTCCTCTCGGAAGACAAGTTAGGGGCAGGGATGCTCAGGGACTCTTGTGGATCAAGCACCTTGTGAATCCCCAAGCTGGGGCTGGAACCAGGTCTCAAACTTCTGTCCTTTCGATATGTCCAGCAAAGTCAGAGCAAAGGTGGGGAGGGAGGGTCCTGGGGGTGGACTCAGGAGGCCCGTCTCTGGGATGGTTGGCCCGCCTTGCAGTCAGCCCCCTTCTTGGGGGTGACAGTGACATTCTGTGTGTCTTGCAGGATTGCAGCTCCCCGGAGAGCAGAGGGTCCCCAGAACCCAGGAGACCAGGAGGCTCTGAGGTGGCCTCTGGAAGCCAGGAGAAGCTGGACTTCAACCGAAATTTGAAGGCAGGTAAGCTGCCTCCCCAGCCAGAGGCAGGCGCCTGTGGTGAGGTCTTGGGACAGCTGCCACAGCTCTTTGTATCTTCCAGTTGTGCCTGCCATTGAGAAGCTGCTGTCCAGTGACTGGAAGGAGAGATTTCTGGGAAGGAGCGCTGTGGAAACCAAAGATGTCAAAGGTGAAGGCTGTGTGGGCGGGCAGGGCAGGGATGCCTGGGCCCCTTTCCCTTCTCCAGGCCTGGCCACGCAGCCAGGGTAGGTGGGGCAATTATTGGAGCTCTCAGTTCCCCCATACCTCACCTGTGCTACTCCAGCTCCTGCCTAGCCCTAGAGGTCAGCAGCCCCCTCACCCAGGGACCAGGCCTCAGGCCTGCTTCAACCCCATGTAGGCAAGGCCTGGTAGGAGTCACATCTCATGGATATGGGTTTGGGCTCTTACCAGGGACCTGTGACCTTGGGTAGGTCATTGCCATTTCCCAGATCTAACTATAAAATGAGCTGAACGTGCCCTTATTCTTCACTGATGATACTAATTCTAGGCCACCGGGCCTCACTAAGTGAGCGGAAGTGGTTATTAAAGGGCTGCTGCTTGGACGCATCAGGGTGTTCATTACCCTGCAAGGCTGAGTCACAACCACAGAGGGAACTGCAAACAGTGCAGGCGCGCGGGCCCACCCCACCAACCCAGTGAGAACCCTGCAGCTGGAGGCCTGGGCATATGTATTTTCCAAAGGCTCCTTGGGTGACCCTGTGCAATGGGCTGCAGCCTTAGTTCACTGCGGCGTTTGACCTCAGCTACCTGGGAGGGCAGGGGCACACTGATGTTTGCTGATCGAGGACCATGCACCAGGTCCTGGGCAAAGAGCTTTGCACTCATTGTCTCCTTCAGTCCTCTTAGCAACCCTGTGATGTGACGGTTATTGGGGTCATTTATATATTAGAAAAATGAAAGTGCAGAGAAGTTGGTAACTTGTCCAACAGGTCACAGGTGGACAGTGTTGAAATTTGAATCCAGATCTGTCCTGCTCCCAAGTCTGCATGTCCCACGGCTGTCCTGTGGATGCCTGGGAATGGAGGCCAGGAGGCCATCTGGGACTGAGACCCCTGCCGTGAGCATTATCAGGGCCTGGAGTCAGTGACCAGTGGTGGCCATTGGGGTCAGTGGCCAGTGGTGGAAATTTCTAGGGCCAGCTAGTGGTCAGGTAGCAAGATCCCTGCAGGGGTCTTGTCTCAATTTGACTCACAGCCTGACAGACCTGGGGTGGAGCAGGTGCTCAGGAAGTGTTCGATGGCGGGTGGTGCCTGGAGAGATGAACAGAAATTCTCAGTGTGACTGTTTCCCTGGAGCAGGGACCCAGGAGAGCCTGGCAGAGAAGGAGCTCCAGCTTCTGGTCATGATCCACCAGCTGTCCACCCTGCGGGACCAGCTCCTCACGGCCCACTCGGAGCAGAAGAACATGGCTGCCATGCTCTTCGAGAAGCAGCAGCAGCAGATGGAGCTGGCCCGGCAGCAGCAGGAACAGGTGGGCTGGGAGGTGCTGGGCTTTCTTTCCAGGGAGGCATCTGTCAGGGCCTGGAGAGAAGCACTTGTGTTGGGCCTAGCCAGTGCAGGCTGAGGGGTCTGGTGGGGGTGGGGGGTTGGCAGAGGTGGGGTGCCACCTCTGGCTTTTGGGAAGCCCTGGTGGGGGGATGTGGGGTTTAGGGGTATGAGGGGCTCTGAACAAGGGCAGCTGGCTACTCCCTGCCCATGCACCATCCCTGGACTCTGAGGGGAGGATGAGCTCCCCACAAAAGGAAAATGAATTCTGAGGATAAACTGGTTTTGCCTGCTCTCCTCTGCAGCTTGCATTAGCAGGGAGATCTGGGGTGTGGGGACCCAGGCCTAATGTCAATGTCTCCCTTTGGCTACTCTTTTCTACCAGATTGCTAAGCAGCAACAGCAGCTGATTCAGCAACAGCATAAGATCAACCTCCTTCAACAGCAGATACAGGTAAAAAGAGGGGCAAGCTGGGTCAGGGGTGGCAGGAAGTTCAGGGACACCAGCCTGGAGAGGGGAAGGAGGGCCCAGTTGCTCAGGTCAGCAGCCCATTTCTGCTCTAGCCCCCTCCTCTGTTTTCTTCCCTGTTTTAAGGGAGGGACCAGAATATCTTCCTTCCCAGTGGGGACCTGAAGGCTGGTGGCAGGGACCCACGGAGGTGGCATGGCATCTTTTGAAAACTGTCTCTGCCCCAGGCTCTGGACCTCCCTCTCTGTCCAGGAGTGGCCACAGTTGGGTAGTTGTTTGGGCCCCCACGGACTCACATAGCATCTCTCTGCTCCCAGCAGGTCAACATGCCTTATGTCATGATCCCGGCCTTCCCCCCGAGCCACCAGCCTCTGCCTGTCACCCCTGACTCCCAGCTGGCTCTGCCCATTCAGCCTATCCCCTGCAAGCCAGGTGAGTGTGGGGGCGACTGCTGCTGCTGAGCTGTCCTGAGGTTGGGAGGGAAGGAGCCAGAACCCCCCCTCCATAATTTGCGGTGTGGTCTTTCTGGGGCCGCCCAGTGGAAGAACAATCCCATCTTCATCCACTGGGAGAATGAAAAGACAGTATGTTGGAAACTAGGATGTGCTTTCCAGATGTAAGCAGATGTGGCACATTTATTGTGCCATGATATTTTTCTCCATTCTCAAAATTTATTTGTTTTTTTATTCCTTTTTGATTCCTTTCTTGGGGTTCTGTACCAGAATATTTATGTCTAGAACATCATCTGCGGTGTGCCCATCTTCCCAATTCACCCTCTCCCTCCTGCCCTGACGGGTGACCCTACCTTCACACCCTCTCTGGCAGCAGCATGTGTCAGGGGGGAGGAAGAGCAGGCAGACTTAGAGCTCAAGGGATGGACAGTCTGGGCAGGGAGCAGCGTACCAATTATGGGGGGTCCGGAGAGGTCTTTTTTTTAAGATTTATTTATTTATGCATACAAGAGCTGGGGTACAGGCCAGAGATGCAAGGGGTGAGAGGACTCACCAGAGACAGTGGGGAACAGAACAGGCAGACTGACTGAAATACACTGCTGAGGGGAGCAGCGGGCGAGACAGCAGAGGACTGCTGCGCCATGTGGGTTGCTCCCTGGCTGGCTGGGGATCGAACTCGTATTGCAGAGGCTGTGGATTGCTTCATAGTGCAGTGCTTAACCCCTTGCGCCACCAGGGAGGCCCAGTGGAGAGGTCTCTTGAGGGAGTGGTGCTTGATTGGTCTTGGGAGAGTGGACTTGTGAGGGGGGATTCTGGGGGCTGGGGCCGGAGGGCAGAGGGCTGGGGGATGGCCATCTAGGCAGAGACTCTGGACCCTGAGGCAGGGAGTCGCAACGGGGTGCTGGAGTTGAGGGGAGAGAGGGGTTGCAGGATGGGTTGTGGGCGCTGGCTGGGAAAGGTAGATGGGGCCAGGTGGGGAGCTGATTTTTTGTCTTGTGAGCTTGACTGTTCCAGGAGAGCGTGGGTTGTCGCTCGTGTGTCTGACAGTCCTGAGGGAGGGCTGGGGAGGAGATGCTGGTGACAGGGGATGATGACCTGAGCCAGGGCAGTGATGGTGGGACAGAGCGAGAATCAGAAGTTAGGCCGAGGCCATTGATTCCCTGGGAAATGTCACAGAGGCAGGGCAGAGGGGCTGCCATCTTGCTCCAGGGGTGAGGACAGCTTTTCAGTTAACCTCCACTCCTCCACTGTTCCACTCGAGAGAAAAGGCAGGAGGGTCCACCGGCTGAGTTCTGCGGAGCCCCAGGCACCCTTCCCCGACCAGCCCTACTCTCTGCTCTGCATTCCAGCATGGGGAAGGGGACATGCGAGGGCCTGAGAGAACCAGGCACTACCTAGAAGGATGATTCTGGGGCCAGGGACTGGAAAGGGGAGGTCCACTTTGTGGACAAGGGAGGCAGGAAATAAGTTGTAGAAGACCTGGACTGGCCCAGCTGCTGCTGACTATTCCAGAACACTAGCAAGCAGGGGCCCGCAGCCTCCAGGTGTGCCTTCCCAAAGCTGCATGAATCGTGCCTGTCCCTGAGCTCACCTTGCCCACCCTCCAGCTCCACCTGCCCACCCGGCAGACGCTAGCCCACTCTCCACACACACACTCACACGCACACCCCGGAACATACTTCTCCAACACACTACCCAGACAGCCCACCCCCTCCAGCCTTGGTAGTGATCTCTGCCACCTGCATGGGCAGCTCCTCCATGCTGGGTCTTGTTGAGGGCAGAGGTCGGCTAAGGAGAAGGGGCATATAGAGGGGCACAGAATGGCTGTGGCTTCTAGAGGACTGGGGTTCAGACCCCCAGGCTCCCATTTCTTAACCAGCGGGCAGCCCATCTTGCTTCTCCAGGTCTGTCTCTATGGGGTAATGACCCCAGCTCTGCTGCCTGTGGCACCCTCGGTGTTGCTGGGAGGGAATGCGCGGGGGGAGGGTATCCTACAAAAGCTACTGCTTTTGTGCCTTGCATATAGATGGCACCCCTAGAATGGATAGGTGGCACCACCATTGGGTTGCAGCTCGGGCATCTGTGGGCTGGGATGGGCAGGAGATCCTTGGCCACACATGGGGGCTAGGAGGGCAGTGGTGGGAAGCCAGGCGGGCCTGCTCTGAGCCTCTGTCCATGTTGCTGCTGGACTTCGGCAAGCAGGGTGTGTGCTGTTCTGTGCTCATCCAGGGCTTTTCTCCTTGCCGCCCTTTCCATAGTGGAGTATCCGCTGCAGTTGCTGCACAGCCCCCCTGCCCCAGTGGTGAAGAGGCCGGGGGCCATGGCTGGCCACCACCCCCTGCAGGTACGGCCCCCCTCCAGCCCAGCCACCTCCAGAATGTGATGGCTACTGCCTGCCCAGGAGCCCCTCCCCCTTCACCTGTTCCCACTGTCTTCTTTCCTGTCTCCTGCCCTGGATATGCTGGTTTCTGTCACCCTCTGTCCCCTTCATCCCTCTGGGGACGTCATGTCTCCTTTGGTGTCCTCTGACCCTCTGGGTCTCCCTCAGGAGCCCTCCCAGCCCCTGAACCTAACAGCCAAGCCCAAGGCCCCCGAGCTGCCCAACACCTCCAGCTCCCCCAGCCTGAAGATGAGCAACTGTGGGCCCCGCCCCCCCAGCCATGGGGCCTCCACGCGGGACCTGCAGTCCAGTCCTCCCAGCCTGCCTCTGGGTAAGCTTCCTGCCTCCCACACCTTTCCCCAGGGCCCTCTTGTGGGGGAGAGCCAAGGGGGTGAGCTGAGTGTGTCCCTTTCCCTGCGTGGGTTAGTTCTTGAAGGCAAGGGCCAAGGCTTGCTGTCTTCGCCCCTTTTAGTTCTCAGCATCCAATGTCTGAGAAAACCCCCTTCCTACTCTGCCACCACATCAGACCAGGCAGTGCCAGCATGAGAGATTCAGAGATTGTGAAATGCACAATTTCAGGGGATGCCATGCTCCTTCCTAGTCTGACTGGCACTGCACAACAGCCAATGCAAAGGGTGCCCCCTTGGGGACGCACAGTGCAACCGCCCTGGCAGGGGCAAGAGGGAGCACCCACTGAGCTAGCACATGGGGCATGGCAGCAGTGGCTGACCCCGCAGCTCCCCACCCCCCTTAGGCTTCCTTGGTGAAGGGGATGCTGTCACCAAAGCCATCCAGGATGCTCGCCAGCTGCTGCACAACCACAGCGGGGCCTTGGAAAGCTCCCCCAACACCCCTTTCCGAAAGGTATGTGCCCCCACTCCCCTGCACTGGAAGCAGGGAACAGGCCGTGACCAGGGGTGGGAGATAGTTTGACACCCCCAAAGGGAGGTGGGGGAGCAAGTGGGGCAGCACAGAGGGGCTGATGTGCTGGCTGCCTCTGTCAACCCCAGGACCTCATTGGCCTCGACACCTCCCCTACCAAGGAGCGGCTGGAGGAGAACTGTGTGCATCCCCTGGAGGAGGCCATGCTGGGCTGCGATATGGACGGTGAGTGAGGCTCTGCACACGGGCTGATGGGCAGGAGGCCCTGCACTTCCCCCAGAGCCAGGGTGAGCAGGCTTGAGACAGCTCCGAGCCACTCTGCTTCAGTCAGTCTGTGGAGTCTTTTTCTGTGTCTGCCCCTTGTCAGTCTGTGGGTCCCTGGCTGCGGGGGTGGGGGGGGTGGGGGGGGGCGCCTCCCCACCACTACCTAGTGGTCAAGTAGGGGGTGTTACTGCTGCCTGCCCTGGGGGGATTCTCCTTCCCTGGACTGGCTGCCCCAGCTGAGTCCACCCCTTTCCCCAAGGCTCCCGCCACTTCCCGGAGTCCCGGAACAGCAGCCACATCAAGAGGCCCATGAACGCCTTTATGGTGTGGGCCAAGGACGAGCGGAGAAAGATCCTTCAAGCCTTCCCTGACATGCACAACTCTAGTATCAGCAAGATCCTTGGTAAGAGCCGGTGAGCGGGGCCCCCGGGAGCCTGGTGCTCTAAGAGCCATCGCCCTGCAGGCCCTGGTCTGGGTCAGCTGGGTCTGCTCAGGGCTTGCAGGATGATGAGCAAAGCCTTGCTGAACCCCATCAGGGATCTGCTGGGGTATGGGATCTTGCACCTCATCAGGGATCTGCTGGTTCCTGGGTCTTGTACCATTATGGGGCTGCACCCAAGAACTCTAAGGGAGGAGAGAAAGAATCTTTTAGCTGACCTGATCTCTCCCTAACTTGTTCCATTGTTTGCCCAGACCCTGGCGCTGACTGTTAGGAAAAAGGAGCGCCTACCCTTGGATTGTCAGTAGAAAGGTTTTGCAAAATACATGTCCTGATGGGAGGTCAAGGAGGACCGGGGGCCAGATGGTAGGACTAGAAGAGAAGGCTCCTGCAGTGTCTTATCATCAACTCCAGAATGGGGTGTTTAAGTAGAGAGCCAGACTGTGGCCCTGCTGGTGGCTGCCTGTTTGTTCACACAAATCAAGCAGACCAAAGGCCTGGATGTTGCTGGGTGGTCTCAGACGGGGTGGGTGCTACATCTTAGGCTGGCAGTTGGATGTCACATACATACCAGCTTCATTCATTCATTAACTCCATCTCCAAGGAGCACTCACATTGGGCCAGGCCCTTGCTAAGTGCTTGCACCTATATCTGGGGACCAAAACTGTCTCAGGGCCTTGTGATCTGAGGGAATTGGGGTGGTTGGCAGAGAGCACAGTCCTGACTGCCTGCCCCGGCCCAGGCTCCCGCTGGAAGTCCATGACCAACCAGGAGAAGCAGCCCTACTACGAGGAGCAGGCGAGGCTGAGCAGGCAGCACCTGGAGAAGTACCCTGACTACAAGTACAAGCCACGGCCCAAGCGCACCTGCATCGTGGAGGGCAAGCGGCTGCGGGTGGGCGAGTACAAGGCCCTGATGAGGACCCGGCGCCAGGACGCCCGGCAGAGCTACGTGGCCCCGTGAGCAGCCCGCCCCGGGAGCTGAGGCTGCGTGCGTGCGTGCGTGCGTGCATGCGTGCGGCCCGCGTATAGCTGGGAGTCTGTGTGCTTTGCCTGTGTGGCTCCAGGGCACCTATGGGGGTCGCAGGCACTTGTGGGGACATCATCTGTGTGATGGCAGGGGTGACTGGCTGGTGGTACCTTGCGGCTCAGGATAAAGATTTGTGACTGAGAAATGAGGAGAGAAATGTGCCTGTGAATCCTGTTTCTGGCAATGCAGTAAAAATCCAGGGGCGCTAAAAACCAAGGTACCCTCATATCGGTACCAAGGCCCCCTGGTGGAATCCTTTCAACAAGAGCCCACTGGGGCTTTTAAAATATACAGTTTCTAAGAATGGGATTCACACACGCTCGTCCAGGAATGGAAGCTGTGGAAGCTTCCCGGGGACCGCCTGGGGGCTGTTGCCGACAGTGAATATGGCCACCAGAAGGCTGGGGCAGCCAGGGCATGTGTCTCAGAGCCACAGGGCATCAGATGTGAGGACCCTGTGAGGGGGCAGGGGTGGGGCCGGGCTTGGAGTGAAGTGAGGGTGCCTCCCTAACCATGCCTCCTTCTGTCCCTCAGCCCCCAGGCTGGCCAGGTGCAGATGAGCAGCTCGGATGTCCTGTACCCTCGGGTGGCGGGCATGCCACTGGCACAGCCCCTGGTGGAGCACTACGTGCCCCGAAGCCTGGACCCCAACATGCCTGTCATTGTCAACACCTGCAGCCTGCGGGAGGAGGGCGAGGGCACGGAGGACCGGCACTCGGTGGCCGATGGCGAGATGTACCGGTACAGCGAGGACGAGGACTCAGAGGGCGAGGAAAAGAGCGACGGGGAGCTGGTGGTGCTCACAGACTGACCCCGGCCCAGCCGGTGGGCACAGCAGCCCCCCTGGACTCTGTTGGTACTTGGACTTGGCGTGCTCGGGAGCTGGGCATAGCTGTGCACTTGTAGATACATTCAGCAGGGAGGATGCCCCCTCCCCACCATACCTGCAGGCACACCTGAGGAGTTAGGGCCTGGGTGGGCAGGGCCTGTATGGTGGGGATGGGCTGAGCTGGCTGAGCGCCTTGGCCCTCGGGATTCATGGCCAGGCACTGTCTGACCCTTCTCCCCTGCAGATTTACCCACCCTAGGGCTTGGCAGCTCTCGACCTGCCCCCTGAGGTCACATGCTTTGTCCTGGCAGGACCAGTCACCATGGGACCAACACTCCTCCCCCACCCTACCCCATTCCTCTATCACCAAGATCACTTTGGTCCGGCTGTCCCTCACTATCTAGCTATCTGCTGCCAAGCCCGTTGTGCCTCTGGCTGCTGCATGTGTGTGTGTGTACACACGTGCACTTGCGTGTGCATTTTCATCTGTTCATTCATTGCACAAGATATTTATTGAGTGTCCACTGTGTGCCAGGCGCCGACGCTGAGTTCCTGTGGGTGTGTCCCTTGATGCCATTCTTGCTTCTCTGGGGGCCTTTCTCTGCTTCTCTTTGTCCCCAAATTGCTACCTCTTTGTCAGTCTGGGTGTCTCAGGTTCTGTGCGTCCTGTGTGCGTTTTTCTGTGTCCTTGTCTCTCTGCAGGGCCCTTTATGTCTCACCCCCCTTTCCTGTCTCCTGCCCCTTAAATACCCACTGCTCACTCTGGGTCTCTGTAGGCCCCAGGTCCACCCCTGGACCCACCAGCCCTCCCCATGCCCCCCTCCCCGACTCTGCCAGTCGGTTCCCACAGAGCCATTTTTAGCTTGGAGCAGCATGGGAATGTGCTCAGCCTCTGAGGGGCTCTCTCTGTCCTGATGGCCCAGCCCTGGCCCCAACCTGAGTGCCAGAAGCCCTGGAGAGTAGGCCGCCCCAGGCCTACTCTCCACCCATGCAAGCAGGGGTGGGAGGGCTTCCCCTTCTTGGAAGGGCTTGGTGAAGACTCAGGCTTCCTCCCCACCCTCCCTGCCCGCCCCCTCCTGCCTCTGTGTGTGTGTGGGGCCTTGCCTCACTCCTGATCACAGTTCACCAGTTAATTGTCCTAAGAAAATCAAATCCCATTGGTATCTGACTCCAAAGATCCCGAACAGCCCTTGGGTCAGGGTGGGAAAGGAATCCCATGGGGTATGTATGGAGTCTGTGCCTGCCCCCCACCTTCTGCCATTCCCAAGGCCCAACTTCTCTGCAGGCTGTTTCTTTTTTTATGACTGTAAACATAGATAGTGCTTTATTTTGTTAATAATAAGATAATGATGAGTAACTTAACCAGCACATTTCTCCTGTTTACACTCCGGGAATTTTTTTGTTTTCTGTTGGCATAATAAAGACAGACCATTTCAGAGTCTGGCCCTTGCACGGGGGAGGGGGGTGGTGTCGGGCCTGGCCCAAGTCCAGAATTCCGGAAGGAGCAGCCAGCCCAGGCACCACTGCCCTCTGGCGGCAGCTAGAGGGAGCTTCAGGTGTGGGGCCTGGGAGGAAACTTCAGGCAAGGGAGACCCAGACCCAGGGTGGAGGGACCTACCTAGGTGCACACTGAATGAATGAGGCCTGCCTTAAGGATTAAGCCAGACCCCACCCCTGAGTGCTCACCCAAGTCTAAGGAGGGAGGCTCTGGTAAGAGCACTGCAGTAAGTCAGGAAACCTGGGTTCTCCGCAGAGGCAACCACGTGGCGAGGGTGGCGACTGCCAAGGCTCCCCTTTGGGCTTCTTTGGCCTCATCTGACAACAGGGAGGTTCCCGCTTAGCTTTTGAGAGAAGGAACTCAACCTGCTGCTCTCTCTAAAAGTTATAGGAAAAGGCTCACTAGGTACCCCAAGCCCCATTTAAGCCCCCCAAGATACCAACCCATGAAATATGGTCTCTGTGTGATCCAGACTCTACCTGTGGCCTTATACTCTGAATGAGGATTTCAGAGACTGCTTACCACACTAGATAACAGTCCATCAGCTCCGAAAGAACTGGAAGACAGGCCAAAATTCTCAAAATGCATATTATTAACAAGCAATTTAAAGACAAATCTTGTGGATAAAAAAATTAACCCATTAGGGCCTCCCCGGTGGCGCAGCAGGTTGAGCGCCGTGCTGTGAAGCTGTCTGCAGCCTCTGCAGCACAGGTTTGATTCCCAGCTGGCCAGGGAGAAACCCGTGTGGCACGGCAGACCTCTCCTGCCTCACCCACTGCTCCCCTCAGCAGTATCTTTGGTCCTTCTGCCTGTTCTGTTCCCCGCTCTGTCTCTGGTGAAGCCTCTCACCCTCCCGCGCCTCTGGCCTGTACCCCGGTTCTTGTATAAATAAATAAATTAACCCATTAGTATGGAATAGGGGCAGCAAAGCCAATTGGCAATTCTTGTGAATAAGTTACACCTGGATAGGATTAATAAAGGTCTGTGTTTTCAACAAGGGAGGTGAATGGCCAGTGTACGTCATACAGGCCTGGTTCCGGGTATATCATGCCAGGTCTGGCCCTCAATAGAAAAGGCCATTGTCACAGTGGAGTGACCCAGAGGCAGGTATCCTGCGTAGAAGAGGATTGGAGGGAGCCCAGCGGTCATGTCCTCAGAGGAATGGTTGAAAGGGCCAGGGATGTTTTGGCCAGAGAACAGGAAACTGGGGTAGGACAGAAAGTACAAGGTCACCTTCAAAGCTGTTGGGTGAGCAATGTATATTCTTTTTTTTTTTTTTAGCTACACTTTATTTTTGTTTTTTTTTTATATTAATTCTTTTAATTTTTTTTACATCATTGTTCATTTTTAAACAATATTTGCTTCCCCCCACCCCATCAGGTGTAGTCCCCACAGAGTTTCCTTCCCCAATGCACCCGTGCACCATCACCTCAGTCCCCGTGCTCCTCTCTCCCTCCCTCTGATCCCTCTCCAGCAACGTATACTCTATGTAACTCATGAGGCAGAACCTGACCTCTCAATTGAAGTCTCAAAGATTAGTATTTTTAGTTTAACAGCTTTTTGTCAAAGGTATTCAAAAGTGGTAGTGATCTTCCCAGCACAGTTTTTTGTTTTTTTTTAAAGATTTATTTATTCGTGCATACAAGAGCTGGGGTACAGGCCAGAGGTTTGGAGGGTTGAGAGGATTCACCAGAGACAGAGTGGGGAACAGAACAGGCAGACTGACTGAAATACACTGCTGAGGGGAGCAGCGGGCGAGTCAGGAGAGGTCTGCTGCACCATGTGGGTAGCTCCCTGGCCGGGGATCCACCTGGTGCTGCAGTGGCTGGGGACAGCTTCATAGGTTGAGTCTTAACCCCTTGCGCCACCAGGGCAGCCTTCCCCCCCAACCCCAGGAGTTATTCAAGCAGAGGCTTCTGAATGCTGGAAAAGGGATTCCTATCCTGGAAGGGGTGAGTGTGGGGTGGAGGAGAAGGTAGGTGTGGTTGATTGCAAGGAGTGAAGGTTTCCCAAGAGTTAGAGGCTCTATCTTTTTTTTTTTTTTAAATAGAGGCATGTTTTATTTATTTATTTATTTGTTTGTTTTTTTTTTTTATACATGCACTGGGTACAGTCAGAAGCGCGGGAGGGTGAGAGAATTCACCAGAGCCAGAGCAGGGAGCGGAGCAGGCAGAAGGACCGAAGTACACTGCTGAGGGGAGCAGCGGGCGGCAGGAGAGGTCTGCGCGCCATGTGGGACCCTCCGCTGGTGGCCGGGGAGCAGCCGGGGATCGAACCGGCGCCGCAGAGGCCGCGGGCAGCTTTGCAACCCAGCGCTCAACCACTGCGCCACCAGGGAGGCCCGAGGCTCTATCTTTTGATCTAGGAAAGTATCTTGGATGCAGGCCGCGTCCCACCCGGCCTGGCCTCCAGAAGGCCGGGCCTCCTATCCTTTGCTCCTCTCTCTCTCCCCTGGATTGAACCGGGCTGGGGAAGAGACGCCGGCTGGCCGCGACGCCTGCCCCCTAGTGGTCACGCGGAGAGGCGCTCGTTTCATTCTGCACTGTCCATCTCCCCTCACCCCACTCTGTTCTAAACCAAATCCCGCCAGTCCAGTCAGGACGCTCCTGGCCAGGCTCACCCTTACCCCCCGTTGCCATGTCCTCGAGGCCCCAGGAGCTGAGGCCAGAATTGCCCACCTCCCTCTCTGGCGGCCTTTATCCTGCCCTCATCCCAGCTGCTGAGACTCGGTCCCCAGGTCTGGTGCCCTGGGGCCCCATGCTCCAGGAGTAGCCGGATGGGGTCAGGTTCTTGGCAGGCCGGGAAAGGAATGTCCTGGTCATTACCAGGAAGGACAGCACAAGCTTGTTTTCTGCCCTCTCTGTGCTGTCTGACCCTCCCAAAGGCACCTGCCAGGGAGAACTTTACTTGGAGCTCCAGCCGAGTGTCTGAGAGAGGCCGGGGGAGTGGAGTCCAGGTAAGCTCAGGCCTGGTTCTCTCAGGAGGGCAGGGTTTGGGTTAGTTTGGGGTGGCCATGAGTCACTGGGACAGACTTAGTGGGGGGAGGGGTGTGCCTCCCCACCCCCACCTGCCCGCTTCCAGGAGAAGTGGAGAATAAGGCTGCTTTCTCAGCACCTATAAGTTAGCTCCTGTGTGGGTGGGGGCTGGGGCCTTAGGGGCACAGCTGGTAAGGGGCCCTGTCCTACATTTCTCTGCTCACCACCCCAACACTGGCTTCCACGCTTACCTTCAGCAAGGGGCTGAAGGCTTGTGAGTTGGTTGCATGGCGGGCATGGCAGAAAGTGCAGCCCAAGTGCACGCCAACATCAAGGCCCTAGGAGGCTATTTCACAGTGGTTATGTCTGCTCTCACTCCAGAGGTGGGTCTGAGGAACAGGAGGGTGGGTGTTGCCACTGAGTCCACTGAGAAGCCAGGCCCTCAGATGACCACCTGACCCCACCGACGGCCCTTGGGGTCCTACCTGCTGACACTGGCCACCATCGCTCTGCCCAGACACATACTTCCCCCCACCAGCACCCTGCCTGGGCTCAGTTTTGCTAACTATCAGGGCAGCCACACCAGATCACCATGACCTTGAAGAAGGCCCCAGCTGCTAGTGCCAGCTCAGCTCCAGTGGTTGCCATAGCACCCTGGTACTTTTGCAGACAAAAGCCAAACCGCCAGCGTCCACCTGGCAAGCAGCCCCTGCAGGGCCGCTGCTGCCCCTGATGCTCCTGGCACCTTCCGGAGGGTCCTGGGGTGGCTGCTGTCCTGCATCCCATCCTGGAAGTGCAGTTGTGGGGATGCACCCTGCTCACCTTTGTGTTTCTTTCTTTTTTTTTTAAAGATTTATTTATGCAAGAACTGGGGCACAGGAGGGTAAGAGAATTCACCAGAGACAGAGTGGGGAGCAGAACAGGCAGACAGACCAAAGACATTGCTGAGGGGAGCAGTGGGCAGGTCTGCTGCGCCATGTGGGTTTCTTCCTGGCTGGACGGGAATCGAACCTGTGCTGCAGAGGCTGCGGAGAGCTTCACAGCGCGGCGCTCAACCCGCTGTGCCACCTGGGAGGCCCACCTTTGCATTTCTGAGCTCCCCTCCCTCTGGCCTTCTGAGAAAGTGACAGGTTACTTCCCAGAAATCACCCTGGCCTGCTTTGGGGCTGCTTGCTCAGCTCACATCCCCTCCCCCCAGTCAGGGTGACCAAGGAGAAGCTAGCACCGCTGTCAGGGCCATGTCAGTGGTAACCCAGGTTCCCAGAACCCTGGACCCACAGCCTAGTGCTTCTAAGCAGCCCACTCCCAGGCACCTCATTCCAGCAAGATGGTCAAGGGCATCAGCAGTAAAGCCAGCCCTACCAAGGTTATCCCAAGCAAGGGGCTGAAGGCTTGTGAGCTGGTTGCATGGCAGGCATGGCAGAAAGTGCAGCCTAAGGAGAACCTCCAAGATGGGCCAGACACCCCTCCATCCGTGGAATCCTCATGAGCGGGACTCAGACACAGTGGTCCAGAAATGGCCATTTTTAATGCAGAAAACCACGATCATTTACAAATGAATCAATGTATGGGTCAGAACCAAGGGGCCCCCCAGGGCTGTGAGGGATCCAAAGGAGATGGAGAGCTCAGCCAGCACCTTCACAGCTGATCCTACACAGGCTGTCAGGGGCCAGCCCACTGCTGGGGGGCTCTGTCCTTACCTCCCAATAGTCACTCCCAGGACCTCGGAAGTGCGGGCCTGGTGGCGGGGGAGAGGACAGGTGGAGGTTGCTGGCCGCCCTACCTGGCTGCTGCTACTCTGCCAGGCCATAGCATAAGCAGAGCAGGGCTCTGGGGGCCCAGGACGTCACCACTCCCTGCCGTCCCAGCAGGCTGCAGAGGGACAGAGCATGAGCACAAAGGAAAAGGGGCACCCAGGGCAGCCCGTGTCCTTGGCCTGAGTCTGGGGGGCGGGGGTGGTTTGATTGGATCTGGCTTGGTGTGAGGGAGGGATCACAGATGAGGCGGCTGCTGGTGGAGCCGGCATGCCCGATGCTAGACCACTCCCCGAGATAGGTACATCCACTCCCCGAGATAGGTACATCCATCGGTCAGAGCTGGCATGATGCTGGTTTGGGCTCAGCACCTCCCACAAGGGGCATGCAGGGGGAGAAGGACTGGGGGCTCAGGGCACTGGAGGTAGAAAGGAGCCCTCCCTACTCCCCCCCCTTCCCCAAGCCAGGAAGGTCAAAGACATGTCTAAGGCAGCCCAGATGCCAGCAGGCTTGAGGCTGGGAGTGCTGGGCTTCCCAGGGTTGATTGTGGTCCCGTCCTGGCTGGCTACAGGCACTTCCCCCCAAGTCTGGTGAGGTGAAGGGGACCCCCAGAGTTGGGTCCTATCAGCCCCTCCAAACAAGAATGTGATCTCCAGCAGCATCCACTGGGGCTGGTGGCACAGGCAGAGCCTTCTTCCTGGGCACCTGCCTGTCCCCTCTCCCACCTCCAAGGGTGTGGCCCCCACAGCAGAGGGAAGCCTGGAGAACAGCTCAGACCAGGCGGGTGGGGAGGGGAGGACCGGGAGCTGGTCACTTTGGCATCTCCAAGGCCCACACTTGAGGCTTCACCTTGAAGTACTGGTTGAATCGGATCACCGCGTACCTGCCAGGAGAGAGGGAGCTGGGCGTGAGGCGCAAGCCGGGTGCCCCATGGGGGTCCTCATGGGGACTCAGGCACCAGAGGGCACCGTTTGGCCCATCCTCATCTAAGCAGGTCAATTCCAGCCCAGGCCCAGGCTGATTTTTTTATTTTGACTACAGTTTTTCTTTTTGGACGGCACGAGCCTGTCCCAAGGATGTTGGCTTTGGACTTTTTACAGTTCAGTGGTGCTGCGTGCATCTCGGCAACATCCGGGACTTGTTCCCTTTGCCAACAAAACTGTCCCCATTAATCAGTAACTGTTCCCGTCCTTCCCTTCCCCTCCCCTCTCTTCCCCTCCCCCAGCCCTTCCTTTCTCTCCCCTCCCGTCCCCCTCCTCTCCCTTCTTTCCCCTCCACTCCCCACCCCAGCCCCTCCACTCCCTTTCTCACCCTCCCCTCCCCTCCCCCAGCCCTTCCTCTCTCCCTCTCTCCCTCTCCCCCTTTCCTCCCCTCCCCTCCCCCCAGGTCCTGCTCTCCCTCCTCCCCCCTCCCTCTATTCCCACCGGCTGCTTCTCCCCAGCCCCTGGCAGCCACTATTCTGTTTCCGTGAATCTAACTATTTTAGTCATTGAAGTGGAATCACACAGTACTTGTTTCTAAGTCTGGCTTATTTCACTCAGCATAATGTCCTCAAGGTTCATCCA